TTTCTTTTCCTCGACAGAAACACTATATGCAATTAAACAAAGAGATTACAGGAAATTAAAGAGATTCCAGAAGTAAGTCTTCACAAGCATCAGAAATCAAACAGATCATCAATACTTTGAAGAAAGAAACAGATCATCAATTTAAAGGAAAGAATTAAAATGAGGATTTAGATTTCTTTTCCTCGACAGAAACACTATATGCAATTAAACAAAGAGATTACAGGAAATTAAAGCTTCCAGAAGTAAGTCTTCACAAGCATCAGAAATCAAACAGATCATCAATACTTTGAAGAAAGAAACAGATCATCAATTTAAAGGAAAGAATTAAAATGAGGATTTAGTATTCTTTTTCCTCGACAGAAACACTATATGCAATTAAACAAAGAGATTACAGGAAATTAAAGAGATTCCAGAAGTAAGTCTTCACAAGCATCAGAAATCAAATGTGTGCATGCTTCAGAGGATGAGGACTCACCTACATACAATAAACATTAAACCACCCAAATCTGCTTACTGGGTACATTATTAACCTCGCAAATAATGTGGTGTAATCAATATAAAAAAACATGGAAAAAAAATCCTTAATATGATATCGAACATAACCAATCTTTTTGTAAGTTCTGGAATACATTTTGCAGCTGATGTTTGCTTGTAATAACCATTCTTGCCTTTGTTATCAACTTAAATCTGTACATATTTATTGGCTTGGCTTCTACCTATTGAACATTTGTCGAGAATATTATTTAGACAAACCATTCACGTTAGAAATATAATTCAGAAATATGATTACCATGGTACAGAAGAGTATTAGAACTTCCGAATTATTTCCAACCCATTAGACTTCACTTGTTCTCAGTTGCTTAAATCCCTCCAAAGTAAAAGAAGGGTTTGAGCCAAAATTTTCTACATCTGCAGCACATTTTCTTCGTAAAATATCACATTTTCAAGAAGCAAACCTGAGGCTTGCTCTTCTTCAAAGGAGGGAGAGGCCAGTGAATTCGAGGAACTCTAGCAGTAGTCCAATACCAAGAGATAGGAATGGAAATCATACAGCTTGGTAGAAAACAAGACACTTATGGAACAAAGGGAAAGGAGAAGATGTATACCCAAAGATGAAGTAGCTTGACATGCAAAGAGATCGAACTTCTCATGATCTGATGGAACGGTTTGGACCAACCTGCTTGTATCAAAAGCCATATACTTTCCATTAAACCTGTGAGGCTGGACCGTAGAACATTTCAACATTACCAGTAAAACATTTCAACATTACCAGCCACAGCATCCCTTCTAATCCTGTGCAACAACAAAAAAGTGCCAAAGGGAGAAGGACGATAAACTAAGATTTGATTGTGACCTCCAAGAGAGTACTGCCACTGTTATGGGGTTCTAAGGATACTCAACGCTTTGGACTATAACTAATGGGACAAACATGCCAATGGAATTTTGGAGAGCCGGTGAAATGTGAGATTTTGGTCATGCACAGAAAGGAGAGGGGAGATAAAAGATTTGGCATTGTCCTTTAATCCTTAAATTAAAGTTCTTCCTTAATGCTCAAAACGTTTGACTCCCTCAAAATGCCCTCAAAACAAGCACAAGATTTGGCCAGCCATGCTCCTCCTGCAGAGACAAATCCAGATTAGTTGATCAAACAATCAGACCAACCAAAACAAGTTTATACCCACTCTCTTGAAAATATCAAATGAATAAAGTTTTTTACATATGCTAGCCACAGAAATTGAATAAAAAGAATTAAGAGGTAATTGAAACAAAAATTGGATATTAAAAGATGGGTAAATTGGCATTGGAAAGAATTAAATATTCTAATTACTACAATAACGACAATATGATAATTTGGAATTATGTACGAATGAGTCATGTTATATGGTTGGACATTGTTCATGGACTCCTACATGTTGCTTCAACCATAACGCTAGCTGACTCATAGACTTTACGGGTTTAGTGGAGGAGTTAGAGATTTATGAAGAGTACAGTGCATAAATTTGCTTGTTCATGCTATAGAATATGGTAAAATGTTGACTCGCCTATGAGTAAATTATGGTATTTTAAAGATGCCATATCACTAGCACTGACTAAATAAACTGCAAAAAGTCCCAAACCACAAATAGTTTGTTGCTATAATCCAAAATGGACTATGTAGAAGCCAACAGTTCCAATCAATAGTGGCAGGCTAGCCATATCGCCTACTACTTTTTGTGGACATAATCATTATCCCAGTGATAAAAGGTATCTTCTCAACAATTTTTTTATTATGAATACCATAAAAAATAAATGCATTACATTGTACTTAATTACTGAGAAGAGCAGGTGATGTTGATCTACAAGTCAACATTTTCTTTAAAGACATATTCTCGATTGAGTATAAACAAAAGAAGTTGAGCAACTTAACTGCAAGAGAAGGGCCAGCCCATCATCGCACTAACTGGAGAAGAACCACACCCGCATGAGGTACAACTTGAGTGGCCGACAGGCCCAATGGCTGAGCTGCACACCAGAAAGCCCAGTAATTTAAACTATCATATCCTCTGCACTTCCATGCAAAGATTTTTGTCGATGCACCAAAAAAGCTTCTTTCACCGAAGAATAAAGAAATAACAAGTAATATATGCTGTCATGCACGTATAATAAAGAAATAGTACGGAACCAACTTGGAAATAGAACACAGTAATAATATATGCTGCCATGTGAAGGACCTGACTACGTCAGTGACCAGAGCAATTCAATGAACAGGAACCATTGACAGTGAACCCGACCAAAGTTACGGATATGATCTACTGTTTCCCTCTTTTGCAGGTGTTGTCCTATTTGTAATGATTTAGGCTGGTGGCCACACTGGTGGATGATTAGCCTTCTCTGAGAAGTAACTTGCAGGATGATTCCGAAACCAAGAGGTCTTCAGCGCTTGTATGGAATATCAAATTCACAAATTAATCTTCAGAATTGGGGCCAAAAAGATGCATAACTCTGCGACTCTGACATTTTATAAACATCCATCATCAAGATAACCAATCATGAATTAAGCTGAGTAGTATTTTTTTTCTTGAAATAAAAAAATATTGCATTTAAAAAAATCGAGATCTAAGATATAAGGGACACAACTATTCCATTTTTCAATATATATAATATATATACATTTTAGCTGACAGATGCATTATAAAATGCTGGACTACTTGTCCTCTAATCTTACTGGAAGAAAACACCAAAAAGGGGGCAAGCTCGAAAAGAAATGGAGTTAAAGAATAAGGCAAGTGGGAGGTTAAAGAGACAGAGATTGAGACTTCTGGCCCAAACCTTTATATTTGATAGAATCTGATTCCTCGACAAGCAATAAAAAGGGTTTAGCAATTCTATATTGGACGAACCTAAATAGCCTGTGGGAAAGGACTGTGTCCCACGAGATCTAACAAAAAAAGATGTTCAAATTCGTGGAAATAAATTACGTATTTCCAATGACCCTCTTTAATGTCAAAGGGGTATTCAGCCTCCCACTTGTCCAAGTGGACCAAGTGGATGACACCCTTCAGTCGCAACCTGACAAGAAAAATGCCCATCCAAATAACATATTCACTGACGAAACAAATGGAAGACTAAATACTACAGATGAGCCATGACAGATCTCCAATTTATTCAAAATCTTATTGATCAAGAATTCTACAAGATTTTCCTGACCAGATCAATCCTACAATTGGCCTTCCAATCATGAACTGATCACTGTCACCTCCCGCCTTATTATCAAGTATATATTACCTTTCCAAGGAATGAAGGAATTAACTACGATGTCCTGAGATGACCTAAAATGACCCAATAATAAAACTCCTATAATAGTTTATTGTGAATTCTTATATGACTGGAAGCAAAAAAGGATATCAAACTCATTGATGGTAGGTTGTGGTAGAAGCATCTACAGAAAGGACCTGGCAGCAATGGCACTTACATCAGATGTTTTCTCAATGACAACTAAGGAAGCCTATGAGATTTAAGTCAACTAAACCAATCAATGCATAAAATCTGGAGAAAATAGTACAGAAAAGGGAGTGAAAACACTCTTTCAAATTATGCAAGCTATGAAATTTGACAGAGTCAATAAGAAGCGGATCTTATGACTCATCCTTGAAATCACGAGACACACATGACCCCTCTCCATATCTCAGTGTGGCCTCCACCCATGATTCTATTCCCATGACAGCCTACCAAACATCGCAAGAAGAAAACCGCCCCCACAGACCACCTTCACAGCCTTCTTATAAGGCCTAAAATCCCATGAGTAATGGAGATTGGACCACTTGTCCATTTTGAGACCTCAGCAAGTCAGCATAATACCAAAATTGGAATATCTCCTAATAGGCAGCGCGTATCACATACTTTGGGGAATTCCTCTCCGTATCACTCCATTGGCTATCCACAGGAACCAGAAGGATCAGGCACATTCCATGAATTACCAACACACTACCCTGGCCTATATATACCAACTCTTTCATCTGTCCAGAACACGTAGTAGAAGTTGCAAGATGGAATGCTATGGAGAGGAAAGGGTTGCGTACCTGCTATGGAGAGGAAAGGGCTGCATACCTGCTAGAGGGGAATAAGGGAATGAAGATGCTTGCTGAGGGCTTTGCATGAAGAGGCAGAGAGTGGAATGCAGCCAAGGATGACTTGCCGGCATTGCCTTGTAACAAAATCTCCTTGTTTGCGAGTTGCTGGCAAGTTTGTCCTTGGCTACCTTTGGCTCTCTTCTTCTCATGTGAAGCTCTTGCATGATTCAAGCAACGCATTAGCTATCACCGACTACAGATGCTACAATTGCTGAAGCCCTAATAAACAACTAGCATTGTCTGCTTGCCACTGGTAAGTGCCTGAAAATTTAGAGTTCAAAACTGTATTGAAGAATGCCATGTTGTCTATTATCTCTACTTTGTATGGGATGGCCATGACTCATGAGGCATGATTATATGAGGAAACTGGCAAGACAATAAAAGAGAAAACAGCAATCTAGATCATGTGAAGTTATAGATATACATGCGATTTAAGGCAAACTTGTCAGAGCTAAAGGAGATTAAAAAACAATGGGAAAAAGGTTAGCAGTTCTACCTGAGAAAGTTGCACTACCCAATTTGCAATGGGGATTTTGCTCCAAAAGACTATAAAACTGAATGGGTGAAACAAGGGAGCAAAGACAAGCTTCAATGCAATTCATTTATCAAATATTGTTGAAATATTCAATATCTTGGCTTATAAGTTCTGTTCTATTGGGCATTTCATATATCATGATCTCTTACAGCTCATAATTGTCTGTGCACCAGTTTAAAACTTGAGGAACAGATGATGCATATAAATTCTGGGTCTTATGCAAGAGATATTGTATGTTGTATTTGTTCAGTTATTTGGTTACAGATTTCTGTTGGATTTTATGTTTTACAAGGGGTTCAAACTCAATTCATTCATAGATTTTTAACTTTTGTTGGGACACAAATTTAAGCAGTATTAATTGAAAGTACAAAGCATCTTCAAGAAACTATTCTATTTTCTATTTTTGGTGTGGTTAATATCTCATGATATTAGTGTGTAGCTGTGGCACATATGGCAAGGATTTGTACTTGCCATGATATATGGCACGGATTTGTACTATAAAGTATAAACATCATATGAACACACTGGAAACAGCTAAATGCCTACTAGATCTGATTTAAAAAACATTTCCCAGCAAATGGTTGAAACTAAAAGCCAAGACCACAAAGTTTCTCTGACCTCTCTGAACTCTTGAGTCTATGCTAGCAATCCAATGTCATGATACCTGCATTCCTGTTGCCAAAAATTACATGACCATCATGATGCAATTTGTTTTGATGGACCATTTTCTCTGCAAAAAAAAATTCATTGGTCAATCTAGGAATTATTCTGTGTCAAACAATAATTTTTAGGTCATCATTTTGTACCTAAGAATAAATATACAAGTGAAATATACTTAATTCATTGGACAAGAACAAGGTTTTGAACTTCATCTATTTGATCAAGGTTTTTGAGTTGAATTCTTCCCATGCATTAACAAACTGATCCTTCACAACAAAGTTCTGCACACAGAACCCAGAATAAATCTCCAAGTCCCCATCAGTTGCATAACAAAAAACACTTTCGCTGCTGAAAACTGATTGTTGTTCTGGGTTCATTGCATGAAGCTTTTACATACTGATAATAAGATATAAAAGAGAAAAATGAAACTTAAATGAGTAACAAATAAGAATGTTTATGAACTTGCTAAAAGTGCTGGCATAAAATCTCAAAGATACTTTTAAAAATTCTCATCTTTGAAGTATTTTACTACAGTGGTCACATGATGAGTAAGATGACATGCACGTTCCAAAAGCCTACAAAAATACAGGGCAACCAAATAAATGAAGCTTTAAATATATAAATCAATTTGATATTTGCAAGCACTAATTATGGTTTTGGCAGAATCCGATCTCATTCCAGGAATAAAGCGGTCTGGAAAAGCAGCATCCTTCGATTCGAGCAAAAATGTGAATATCTTCTTTTTCAAAGAAAGGTAATAGCACCAGATTCAATGCCACCGAACTATTGGGTCCTAATATCTGGCAAATATTGATCAATCCAAAATTACCAGTGGTCAATTGTTTAACAACAAGGAGACAAGAGAAATGCTTTTCAAGAATAGTTTGGAGTATATATTTAAAAGAAGTAATAAAAAAAGCAATCTTATTTCTGCAAATGAAAAATACTTTCAGTTGGAAATTCTGCAATGATGTTCAGGATGGATATAGAAATATGTCATTGCAAATAAGATTCTAAAACAACTATTCTTGATGTGAATTATTAGATCGTTTGACATTATAGAAATGACATTTTTTTCATTAAAAACATAATTAAACATTGACCAAAATAAAATAGTTTAATATTCATCATTATCAGTCATTGTCATCATCATCATCATCCAAGCCTTTTCCAATCAACAGAGCTTAGTTGCTTTACCATATTATGATTATATTCTTTATGTACTGGTGTTCTGCAAATTTGATGCCACTAGATAGATTTCATGTAAAACCCATCCTCATTGTTATCTTTTTATCAAATATCATTAACTGGATCCACACAGCTTAAAAATAAACATCTAAAGAAGATGTCCTCAGCCTTTAGCCCTTTACATATGAAGATTTATCTACCTTTTGCTTATTGCCTTTAAAGTAGTAATCAAGCATCCTATACCTACCTTTTGCTTATTGCCAAAATCTCAAAATTCAAACACAGAAGAAAAACTTCCTAATAGTCAGCATTAATGAGAATTATCAAGCAACAGTATCAAACTATCCTTTATTCTTCTTTTAGTGTATATGACTACATATGTTGAAGATCCAAAGAGACTAGCACTTCTCACAAATGGCCCCCATGGCCAACTCACATACCAAAAGATACATGAGAAAGATTAATTCTTATGTAGGAAAACTGTTACATGATCAATATTTGAAGAAAGAATAGCAAAAGAAGGGAATCAAACAACTTCTTGTTGTCTTCCAACCGTGGATGCTGCTGAATGCTTTTAGTCTAATCTCCTTCGTGCGAACACATACAAATCTATGAAAAATTTAGCATGAACAAACACTACCAAGCCTCCGATATGCTTCAAAAACACTTATCAACTAACATTTTATAGGCTCACTCACTACAGAAATATGAGAAGCCATTGATTAGATTCAATCTAAAGGGGAGGTGGACATAAAGCATCAGACGAGCAAAGGCATAGTCAGACATGAACCAGACAGCTTCAATAGGCCATGAATAGGCTGCAACTGCTAGCAATAAATTGTTGTGGCCTCAGAAGGTTCAGAATGAAATCTAATGATCGTAATAATTAAGTGGTGTAGGAATTTGTCTCTGTGTATTAACTCATGAAAAACTTTTGATGGGTAGACACAGTTGAACTTCCAATATGATTCAAGAACACCTATCAGCGAAAATTTTAGACTTACTACAGAAAGATGAGAATTCATAACAGTAATTATGCTTCTGATGATAGTAGTGTAGCTTCTAGATTCAATCCAAAGGAGTGGTAGCCATAAAGCACATAAATGAGCAAAGGACATACCCAGGCATAGACCAGACAGCTTCAATAGGCTAAGAATAGGCTGCAACTACCAGCACCAGAAGGTTCAAAATGAAATCAAACAATCATATTGATTAAGTGGTGAGTGGTGGTCTCTGTGTACTAACTTTCATAGAACAATGCATCATGGCCATGAGTACATTTTACAGAATTGATTGAATGCCAAGTGGTAATCAGTTCAATTGTTGTTGAACTTGACATATTAATTGCAATGTGCATTTAATATCATGCTGACAGAGGATAGAAAAATTTGTAGCTGAACACCCACCAGATCAAAAATTGTTTGGAGCTCATCAGACCTTAGAACATAAGAGAATCGTGTAAAATTATAAGAAAGGTGCAACACTAGGAATATGAACCTCGCCATTTTTGACAAAGATGCATTCAAACAAAGTCATATCTCCTATGGATTCGATGAAACAATTTAATGTGATAGCTTTGCCACATTCTCTGCTAAATATTCTATTTGTACACTGTATGGTAAAAATTCTTGTAGAAACTGAGTCAACATTTACTAAACCAGATGCTCCCTTGCAACCACCTCCCTTTTGTTGTATTCGGGAAGATGCTTTATGAAATCTCCTTTTTAAGTCCATCAAATCCTCCTTATCAAGGAAGGGTCATGAGCGATAGTTGGTGTAGACTAAGCAAGTAGCATATGAGACCATCTTATAATGCCATCTCAAATTATTTTTCTTTTATAGAAAGATTAATGCAACAGAAAAAAAAAGGATGTTGCCCAAGAAAATACTCTCTTTTTGGGATTTTCCCGGATGATACCCCTTTTTATAATTCTCAAATGGTCACCCCCTATTTTAAAAAATCCCAAAAATACCTCCCAAAAGCTGTCATGTATTTTTCCTCCGAAATCCAAAAAGTTTTCCTGCCAACTATTCACAGTGTTTTGTGGATTGGTTTTTATCCACAAAAACACTGTATAGTGCTTTAAAAACATTGTATAGTGTTTTGTTTTAAAAACACTATACAATGTTAAAGTTTTCCCATCAACTGTTCACAGTGTTTTGTGGATTGGTATTTATCCATAAAAATACTGTATAGTGTTTTGTTTTAAAAACAATATACAGTGTTTTTGAAACATTATACAATGTTTTGTCGATAAAAACTAACCCACAAAACACTGTAAACCGTTGGTGGAAATTTTTTTTGGATTTGGACGGAAAAAATGATAGCTTTTTGAGGGGCTTTTTTGGAACATTAGAAATAGGGGGTGACTGTTTGAAAATTATGAAAAGGGGGATACCATCAGGGAAAAACCCCAAAAGAGGGTATTTTCCCAGGCAATTGTCCAAAAATATAATGATAGAATTTACCAACTGTATATACGAACAATTTCACCAACAATTCCAAGAGATGTCAGTCTGGGCCTTACACAAAGATGAAATAGTAAAATGCAACTAAGGATGTCTTGCCAGCACCAACCCAAGAGAAGACGATGGAGCACAGGCAGTTACCAAATTGTCCTTAGCTACATTTATCTCTCATCTTCCCATACAAGACTTAACAAAGGCACTGGTGACGTTTATAAAATTATCTCACAGCTGGGAAACTGACTTAAGAAACTGACTTAATGCGATTTCAATAATAGCACACATCTATGTGCAAATTGCAAGTCATCCTCAATGTCAAAAGCAAGGCATGAATTTGTCAAGTCATTTGCATTTCTAAAAGTGCATATGCCTAAACTAATTTATTGTTATACTTGCTTAGAGTGAAAATGGAGATGGCAGACATCACCTGTGTCTGGTTACATAAAATTTATATAGACCATAGAGCAAATAATTAAAAGTACTACAGGATTATTGAACAGAGTACCACTGGCTATCAACTTTTGAATTGCTGTCAAATTTTAATCACCATCTCATATAAGCTTACTAGAGAAAATGATTGTATTTTTACAGTAGCTATAACCACACTATGTTTTCTCGTTAGCTGAGAGACTAGCAGAACAAGATCACAGTACAGGAACCAACAATCATTTAGCTGTAAGTGACAAAACAAGAGTAAGAGATAATAAAGGAAAGAAAGGAGGAGTTGCATCTTAGTCATTAAAAACGTAGAGATTCGTATTGATGTAAGAATGAACATCTTTATCCTATTCTGGTCTTTGTTGTTTTATATTAATTGCTTAGTTCTCCAAATATGATACAGTCTGTTTGTACAAATAAGAGTAAAATATTCATAGTTTACCACCAATATGTGAATTCTTGAACACATATCAAACTTATTGATTGCTTCATAAAATCAGACTGAAAGTCCTACTTGATATTTGATAATGTACTTCAAAGGCACTAATCAACAATAAAGGGAACTTAAAATTACGGAAGTACAAACCAAAGAATTGGTCCCATGTTTACAAACTTCTTGTTAATAAACAGTACAAGAAAAGATCATGATGACAGATGATCAAACAGGTTCACAGAAAATGGTTAGGAAAATTCCTGAAGGTTAATGTTATTGTGTCACATGGCATAGATATGCTGATCATAGATAAATTAAAAGGTGAAATGTACAGCATGATATGAGGACAATTAGACAGGAAGTAACAACTAGAAGTTCTTCTCTGAATACATTGTTCATGTATAAGTTCTGAAATTGATTTATGATTCTTGTACTAGCAGGTGGTAATCCACTATTTATATCAAAAAGAAAAACATAACTTCTTCTAAATAAACACAGAGCTTTTCAAAAGTAACTGAGAACTTGGGTTATTGTCTGCTGATCTGTTGGAAAGCCGGATCATGTCATTTACACCAAGCTCAACTAAAGCTTCTAAATACATGATAACAAAGGGTAGGCTCTTGCATTTCCCCTTTTCTAATGTAAATCATAAAAAAAAAAGTATGCATCCATGCATAAATACTCTGTCATGCATCACTAGTGATCATTATCATATTCACAAAAGTGAGAACAGAGTGAGATCTGCATGTGCTCATGACAGAGCTTTTCATTTGTTAGGTCATCAGTGCCCCGCAGAAAGACAAATTTTCCACTCCAGAAATCTAATTAGATATAGAAATGACAAAGTCTAAACTAGAGAAAAAGGGCTACCAGTTTATAATGGCGTTAATTCAATGGTTTTGATCGAATTTTCTAACTATAAGTTGCTTTTCCAATTATAAACAGGCCAATATAATGCAGAAGATAGATATGCCATCATAAGAATTCTTAACATTCTTCAAAGAATAACTCAATTATAGTTTCCAATGTTGTGCATAACATGGCACTTTCATATATAATTATCAGAATATCTCTGTTGAATTAGCACTATTAACTCTACGAAAGATATCAAACAACAAGAAAGTTTGCCAAAATTACAGAGATTACCTAAAGAACAGATTCCTCGAATTAATGGATCTAGAAGTAAGGGACTCAATCCACATTTTAATCTCTGAAAGCGTGGGAATGCAGATTACGGCTCCAAACACGCGTTGCCAATCAGAAAGGAAGAATCGAGCCAAATAATGGTTACCTCAGCAGCAGATATGAGCGTAGTGCAGTTAAGATGCATCAAATTACTTCTTCCGGACGTTAAGCCGCCGAGAATGACCTGCGATCCAATGGCAATCGACGACCAAAAGCTATCTAAATTTCGAAGGTGAAAAGAGAAATCTCGCATATCCTTAAACCAAAACCGAAGGAACGTGGGGGGTACATAGTCGGCGACTCGAACCCTGATAGAGCCATCGTCATTTCTTCCCACGGCGATCGTCTTCGAGGGATCGAGTGGGAAAGATGAGGTTTCGTGGGTTTCTGAGGCTCTATATATATATATATATATATACACACACGGACATGCGCGCGCGCGCACACACACACACATATATATATATATATATATATATATATATATATATATACACACACGCACATGCGCGCGCGCGCACACACACACACATATATATATATATATATATATATTAAAATAGAAACATTAATATAATCACAATGTATATTATATTTGTCCAGGCAAGCTGGATAAACTTTAAGGTATTACGCTCATAAAATGAATTATGTTATACTTGATTAAGAATCAATGTCAAAATGAAATACTTAGTTCTTCTACAAACGTAATACCATAAAATTTATCCAACTCGACTTTAACTATTAAAATAAAATATGATATAAATGGTATCATATGAGATAATGCCGCTGCTACTAATCCTATATCAATACAGCTCGTCTCAAGCCTTCATGAACCTTTAGGTCCAATTTGATGAGAGACAAACTGATTTGATTCGTCTAGATTGACAGTTCAGTGAATCTATCAAGGATTCGGGAGAGTTTTGGACATCTGAGTAAATTAATGCAATAAATTCTGAAAATTGATATCCTTGCAGGTAAAATCCGATAAAGTGAAGCTTTTCTAAATAAATCGTTCAAACAAAATGTAAGACACAGAGGGAGCAGAAGCTATTAAATATAACACCCAACTCCAATTTACTCCAATAATCACTGAACAATTTCTGCACATAAAGGGAGTCACTGTTCTCCATTCAAATAACATGGGTAACACCTAAGTCATCTTACTTACGAAAGTATCCAATCTTACTAACGTAAATTGGAATATGAAAAGCTACATAATCCAATTCAAGGTATCAGCCACATAATCCTTGAACTAGTACATCATAATATTTTCAAATGATGATAAAGCTAACAGCGCCAACCAGCAAATTCTGGAGATTGGCACATAGCAGTTTCACTTGGATCCATCATGCTGTTATGACATCGATTCTGAGGTGACTTGCATCTCATGATAGTCCTTCAAGGCGAAGTGTGCATTTTGCTGACTGACATCTTGTGAAGGAATCAGGTGGTGGAACTGCCATCAAAACGTTCATTGTTTCGGACATCCCCATTACACTCATAGTGCTGCTCTGCAGGAGAAAGATCATCAGAGTGTGCCTATGGTAGGTTAAAACAGTAGGTGCATGAAAAGCTCTTGATATGAATCCAATAACACATATAAAAAAAAGGGAAATTACTTATAAATCTAAACAAGAGAGATGATCCAAGCACCTTCATTTATTTTTGCCACTGAAAGCACGCATGAACTAACAAAATAACTAGTTGATGAGGAACAAGCAACTGAACTTCTTTCGGGCACATCACATGGTCATCACTAGAAAGGTTCCTCTCTCTCATGACCACCTGAGAAATTCAGAAGACTCGTAGTCAGGGTCGCTGATATCTGACACATCCACGAAAGCAGTCATCTAAGGCCATAACCAGCATTGCTTCTGCCAAACAGATTCACATAAATGATTGACAGAGTCAAATTAAAAGTAAGTATACAAAACTGGGCACCTGCAAGTATTGTTTAGTCTAAAAATTTCCAAAATGTGATGGTTAGCTTCTGCAGGTTCTTCTATTTCAAGTATAATTTATTGATTTTACACAATAAAATTCAGCTTTTAAGTAAAGTGGCATACCTCCATTGATCTTAATCCCCAAGAAGAACAACGAAGTCAGAAATTTGGCAGCCGTATTCATCTAGGCCCCTAGACGTGTACACTATCTAGGGACCATATTATGCAATGACTGAAGGGAAAAATCTCTACATGTAACAACCTGAAAGAAGCCTAAGTTAACTATATCAGGTTGCACCAGAAATGGAAAAAAGAAAAGTAATAAAGATTAGACAAGTAATTAAAGAACATAGGAAATGCCTTTTCGGAAACTAATTCTCTGTGACAAGGAATAACATAACCTGTCGATTTTTATGTATCGTGAATTAAGGTACAATGCTTACAAAATTAAACATCTTCCCTGCCCCAGCACATGCAAAAAGAAAAAGAAAATTGAAGTACCACAAAAAATGACGAACCAGAATAAATAGGTTCCTCAACCAAATTTCTCAAATCTTCTTGAAAGTTTGGTTTGTCCCTGTTCTTGTGCAATTTGTCGAGAAAGCTTACCATGGTTATCTTATACAAAACTTCTCTTCTTTTTAACATTTTGTTCTGTCCCAATTCATAAAACTTCTAAAGTAATTCTGCTTGAGCACAACACTGCATCACTCACGCTGTTAACAGATCAAGGGTTGCTTGAGAAAGGAGTCCAAGTATTAAGCATCATATATTCTATAAGACAAGATACTGAAGCAACAGTTGCAATAGATTGTTGACTATGCAATCCACCGTTATTGAGCAAGTATCATTTCAATTGAGCAAGCATCATTTCAATAGCTTCAATTAATCACACTAGATTCTCATGGTCAGTGAATAATGTGATTGCCAAATATTAAATCTTGCCACCCTTCCTCTACATTTCAATCTTGTCTCATGGAGCCTTGGGATATTATCTCTTAATCGCATGAGCTTGCTTGGTATAAAAAATGTGCTAGATTTGCCTTCACACTGCTCAACCTTTAGGTCTCATTGCAGGAATCCTTCCTTCCGGAGTTGCATTAACAAGGAAAATTAGAAGAGCTAAGTAGTTGTTGATCCAGATAATTACTAGGTCTTAGGACCATTAAAGTTCTTCAACAAATGAATCTAAACTAGCTTCCCCAATTCAAAAGAATCAATCAACAAGTAATCATACTGGAAAGTCCTCGAATGCGACACAAGGATAACTAATCCGCCACCCGACCACAACGCGAGATCGGCAAACAAAGGCAACAGAATAAAGATTCCAATTTTATTAACCTAAAACGAAATGGACGTGAAGGCACTCAGGGATCGGGCACAGACCTGGGAGGTGAGGCGGGTCAGTGGTCGCCTTCGCCGGCGTTAGCATGTGGGCCAGCGCTCCTCAGGCAGGGCAACGAGGTAGGAGAAAGCCACGGCGCCGAAGCATTTCATACCCTTGATCCCGTTGTAGAATGCCCCTAGCGTTATTCGAGATCACCACAAACCCTGAACCTAACCCTAGGTTTTGGCTTCCAAAACAGAGAAAGATCAAAGAGGATGGAGGAGAGAGACTAGAGGGCGGAACGCGGGAACGAAGTCTTATACCGCATGACTACGGTGCGGAAATGCCAACAGCCATCGGATGAAAATTGGACGATCCTAAGCGCTCGTTAGTGTCGTCACAATGGTGACTCGCGAGGCATCACAAGGGAGGGACTTCGAATCCTTTCGATAGGAACACCCCCTTTAATGTTTCGTGCACTCTCACCTGTTCTCTCTTCAATGGGCCCCAAATTAGCCGGACAAATGGAGCATAAGCAGTGAAAAGAGAGTGGTGTATATCAACTGCCCTTGTAATAGAGGTCTAACAGCGAGATTGGAGATAGCGGAGGAAGAATGGGGAAGGCCCGAAAGTGGCGGGTGGTGCGACGATTCGCGATTACGACTCCGTAAGAGATCGCCTTTCTCTCTCTCAATCCTTGTTTCGAGAGACGCAAGGTGGGATTAGGGTCAGGAAGGATTCGAAGTAAGGACAAGGTGGATGGGGACATGGCGGAAGGCCTACGGAGCCCTCAAGGATTCCACCAAGGTCGGGCTCGCCAAGGTCAACAGCGAATTCAAGGTCTGAGCCCTTTATTTGAATCTAAATTCTGTCTCTTCGTATGTGAATTGTTCTTGGAATTCGTCTTAGGAATTGTTGGAATTGAAGGTTGATAGATGTTGTATCCCTCTGACGTGTTTGTTTTATTGCTTCCTTGATTAGGATTTGGACATTGCAATTGTGAAGGCAACAAACCATGAAGAATGCCCACCGAAGGAGCGGCACGTGCGGAGTGAGTGAACTTGATTATGGTCCCCTCCATTTGTTGGTGTGCAATTGCTGTGCATTCCAATTAATTTCATTTATTTATTTGGAAATTCGGTTCATTATACATAAACCTGTGTTGATTAGCAGAAGAGTCTGATGAATCTGGAGCATGATATTCAAATTTTTGCAACATTTGAATTCTTTGCACTCTCACGCTCTTGGTCGTATTGTTTTTCTGTTTGTTGAATTGGCCATTTTGTTTGGATGTTTAAATTGTGCACATCTTTTTATTTTGATCCTTTTTTTGTTTCAGCAATATTTGCTGCTACGTCTGTGGTGAGGCCACGAGCAGATGTAGCTTACTGCATATATGCACTTGGCAGAAGATTGTCCAAGACACATAATTGGATGGTATGTCCAAATCCTTTGTCTAATGTCATTATGAACATAATCTGTTTTAACAGCTTGTTTGCGATCCTTGGTTATCATTCTACTTGCAGTAGTTTTTAACATTCTATTGGATGCAAGAAAGTATTGTGCAATGGTACAAGACTAACCTTTTCCAGTTCCAGATACTCTGTTGCTTTTCTTTCTGAACAGTAGGCATTTCTGTTGGTACATTATATATTTATCTCTTGTTTACTTTAGATATCGCTTATGGTAATTATTAAAGAATGCAACAAAGCTGTCATAAGCTATGTGGCTTAAGAACTGTTTACCCTCAGTTGTTTTACACAACCAGGCCCCTTAGACCAATCAAGGTTTCAAGCATTCAAGTTTACATTAGCTCAGTTTTTGAACAGAACTAGAATGCATATTTCAATTCTAATTGTCCACATACTGAATCTGCTGGATTGATAGTGTATAAAAACAGTGATATTTTACACCGAGAATCTTCTGGTACTTATATTTTATCCTCCAATATGATAAATAAATGTGGATGAAATTTTACAGGTTGCCTTGAAAACCCTGATAGTTATTCACAGGACATTGAGAGAGGGCGATCCCACATTCCGAGAGGAGCTATTGATTTATTCTCGTCGAGGAAATGTTCTACATATATCCAACTTTAAGGATGATTCTGGTCCTCTAGGTTTATTTCTTTCTTCATTCTTTTGGAATGCTGATTCTACATACTATTGTGTTGACTGAAAGGAAAATTTCAGTCTATTCATAATGGTTAGATTTTTCTTCATGTAGCTTGGGATTGTTCCGCATGGGTACGAACATATGCACTCTACTTAGAGGAGCGGCTTTCTTGTTTTAGGATCTTAAAATATGATATTGAAGCAGAACGTTTGATGAAATCTCCACAGGAGTCTGCCAAAGTAGGCTTCACTCTTCTCGTTGTTACACATATTCTTCAGCTTTTAGTTGGATCACAGCATTATCCTCTTCTTTCCCTGTGCAAATTTCCAGGGACATAGTCGAACCAGAACACTATGTTGTCCTGATCTGTTAGAACAGTTGCTCGCTTTGCAACAGCTACTGTTCCGCCTTATAGGTTGCCGGGTAAAATAAAAACTGCAGTCATCCTTCTTATTTGTCTACAATGCTTACTTTATCTGGTTTAAATGTTGTAGCCTGAAGGAGCAGCATGTGGAAACTTCCTTATTCAATATGCATTAGCCCTGGTATGCTTAATTTTTTCGTGGTTGCATTTGAACATGAGTTTGAAAGTTTCTTTTTCCTGAGATTCCCTATAATTTTATCTGTAAAATTCTTATGGTAGGTATTATATGTCTTGGTCTGCTCTAGTGCTGGTCTGTGGTTATCTGTTCACAAATTACTAAGAATTATTATGTAGAAGGATACCCTGATCTCTTGATTCAAAAAATGCTTGAAATATCATTCTAAATAATTTTATGATTATGAAAAATTTTGAAGAAGTTGATCATCCTACTTGGCTTGTTATAGGAATCATGACAATCCAATCTAGTTTTCTTTTCTTTTCTTGTTATTATTTTCTACTATATTTTTCACCTTTCTGAGTATGAGAACATGATGGACTTGAATTTAACACTATATCCAGAATGTCCAGGAAACCATTTGACATCCATATTGGTGTATAAACAATACCATAAGCATCTTAATGCTATTATGCCCATTAAGAAGAAATCAAATCATCAGTTCCTAATCCTCGAGATGAAAAACCTTATTTTCCCAGATATCAGGAGCAAACCAATATACATTTCTATCTAGACCATGTATGTGAAGTCAATATTTTATCATGACACTGGAACTAAAGCTTTCATACAATGCATTAATATGGGGTGGCATGTCCTTCACCTTTTTGGTGCATATGATAGGAACTTTGATTCTTTAAGTTATCAGTAAAGGATAGCCTTCTCATGGTGTGGGCCTATTGACCTTGGTCATAGTCCCTATTCCCTACCTCATCCATGGGTTGAAGGCTCTTGGTTACCTTTGATAACGTGCTAGCTTTGCTTTGTACCTCCTTAACCAGCTTACATTCTATTTGATCTCACTAAGTATTAGTGGTCGAATTTATATATTTTATCATTGCAAAATTTGTTATTTTAGAGCTTTTTTCAAAGTAGATATTGCCATATTGTGCCATGAAAAAATAATCAACGGAACCTGATTAATTTAAATAGGGCAAGCTTCTTGTAGAATAAACAAAGTTTCCCAATTAAAATCATGAAGCTGATAAATTTTCCTGTTTTATTATATAGGTTTTGAAAGAGAGCTTTAAAATATATTGTGCAATCAATGATGGGATCATCAATCTTGTAGATATGGTACTTTGGTTTTTATGATAATTTTTTTAATCTCTTTATCAAAAGGAGATTCTGGTTCTCTATTAGTTAATCTTATTGCATTTTATGCAGTTCTTTGATATGTCAAAATATGATGCTGTCAAGGCGCTTGATATCTACAAGAGAGCTGGACAGCAGGTATAAGATCTCATGCTTTTTACCATGGCCAACTAATTCTAAATATAAAATTGCATAATTATCTTTTTCATTTGGCATTGATTTTCTGAAATTTTCTCTGTTCATCCCTGGCAGGCAGAATCTCTTTCTGAGTTCTATGAATTTGGCAAATGTTTGGAGCTTGCAAGGACCTTTCAGTTCCCAACTCTGAGACAGGTTTTCACGTCTATTGTTGTTGGGTTTAGACTGATACAAATACTTTTTCTTTTACCAGTTAAACCAATCAAACTGAATTAGGTAGTTTCAAACATTTCATTTCAGTCATCAAATATTGTCAAAATTAATAGTTATTATAATCTAAAATGTTAGATCCTATCTCACCTATCAGCTTAAGTTTTAGGATGAAGAGTTAAAAATTTAACATGCTATCAGAACTGGAAGTCCTAGATATACTCTGTTGTTGCTCAGTGACGTTCCTACTAATGATTTTTTTTTGGGGGTCCATATTTTTAGCCACCTCCTTCGTTCCTTGCAACAATGGAAGAATATGTCAGAGAAGCACCTGGGGTTGGCTCTGTTTCAAGCAAGCGGCTGGTGAGTGTAATTAAGTTTGCGGGTGCAAAATTTTAAATTGTACATATATTGCTAACAGCTAAGTCCTGTTTAACTAGTAGCTTTTTCTTGCAATTAACTAGTAAGAAAAGAAGCCAGTAGATTTTTTTTTCCTTGTTTGAAGTTTATTCACAATGTGAGACTAAATCAATTGAAATGGAGCTCTTGTGCACCGTTCAGACCAGTGATTTGTGTGGATGTACTTTAAGACGCTACATGAATTGTGACATGTAATTGTTTTCCAACATGTTAACTGCTTGTAAATGTCAATCTCCCATATAGTAACTTTAGAGTATGTTGTTAAAGCACTTCAAATGAATGTTTTCTGTGTCTAACATGTTTAAACCAGGAATATGAAGATAGGAAAGTATTAACTTACCAACAAGAAGAAGCCGCACCTGCAGAGGACGAAAATCCAGATGAGGAAGATGAGAAACAGCCACCGGAAGAGGAACAGCCACCGGAAGAGGAACAACCACCAGAAGAGCAACCGCCACCGGAACCTGAACCTGAACCTATAACTGAAGAAGAAGCTCAGCCTGCTACTTCCGGAGACTTGCTGGTAATTTGTGTATACCCTTTTGTACGATTATTTCATGACGAGGCTGTAGCATATGAAACATATCCAGTGTCAATATGCAGGGCTTGGATGAAATAAATCCCGTTGCTGCCGAACTTGAGCAAAGCAATGCCTTGGCCCTTGCCATCATTTCTCCAGGTAATCTAGTTTTCATTATATGCATTTCAGATTAAATCTCCAATAAATCTTGCATAAATGATAATATCTCTCTCTGTCTATGCTTCTCTCTATTTTAGTGTAGAACTATTGCTGCAAACCTTTGCAAGCAACTATACTTCTTGAATTTACAGGGGATGATACAAAGCCTTCATCAACTCATGACTTGTTTGGAACTGATTCTTCCGGATGGGAGTTAGCACTGGTCACTACTGCGAGCAGCAACACCAGCCAGTTGGTTGAAAGCAAACTGGTACGTTTGTTATGTGGATACATTGGCACTTGAATTGACCATTTAACGTAAAGGTTAGAGCAGTTGCAATAAATTGTTCTCTTGCAGTCTGCCTTTCCAAGTCTTACTAAGAAGCAAGACTGAAAGCAAATAAGCTACCACTTTGAGAGTTCCAACTTCTTGCATCTTTGGGTCTTATGCATCTACATGAACATCCAAATTTACACTGCTTTCTTCAAAGGAAAAACTCCAAATCTATTTAGCTGTTACTGTAAGAGAACTTTTTAGTATAACATTTTCCTGTAAATTGGAATTTGTTTGATGAATATTTATTACACGCATATATGTCACAACCACAAATGTTTTAGTTCATTGTTAGTGGTTTGACATCATAACCAATTTTTCATTCAGACCCTCCAACCATTCATGCTCCTTCTCTTAAGCATTCAAAAGCTTCCTAGAAAACCATTGAATTAGAGCTTCTTCCTATCTGCTTCATTTGGTGGTAGAGACAACAACCAAGCATTCATTTTGCTGTGCAGGCTGGCGGATTCGACAGGCTCTTGCTAGAAAGTCTCTACGAAGATTCAGCGAGGAGCCAACAAATTGCTGGTGCTTACAGCAGCGGCGGTCTGGACGCCAATCCTTCCGATTACAATGATCCCTTCGCCATGTCGAACAGCATTGCGCCGCCACCAAGCGTGCAGATGGCTTTGATGGCACAGCAGCAACAACAGCAGCAGCAGCAGCAGTATTACTACTATCAACAGCAGCCGCTACAGCAGGAGCAGTATTATCAGCAGCAGGATACGAGTATGATGGTGCCTTATCAACCTCAGCAAGCTCAGCAGCAGATGGCCTCTGCCAACCCCTTCGGCGACCCATTTGCCGGCTTTCCACAGGGTGCAACCACACAAAGCAATCAACATCTGCTCTAATAAGAATGCGTTGTATTGTTCTTCCAGAATGGTGGAATGGTGGGGTGATCATTCTTGGACTTGAGCTCCATTAAATGAGACTGTAACCAAGTCTTTTTCTACTAAACTATGGAAGCAAACATGAGTTAGACCAAAATGACCGGTGTGTTCTTCCATGGCAGGAAACAAGGACAAGGTTTCATTGCGCAGGCACGGCTCGAAGCACGATGACCAGATTCCATCAGAAGTGTTGAAACGCCTGTATACTTGGTATGTCAGATTTTATCCAATCTTGTATCAGAGGAGATGATTGACTTGATAACAGCTTCTTGATGAATATTCTTTTCTTCATTATTACATGAATTAGTTTGAATGCTCTTCCTAGAAATAAGCATTTGACTTTCTCCATTACGCTTTATTGATATATATTTCTTCTTCATCATTATTATCATTCCTATTTGATTAATGCTAAATTTTTCGAAGGTTCTTATTAGAACTACTCTAATCTTAGTATCATATAGCAAATCTTATATGAAATTTTTAAGGGTTAATTACATATTACCCCTTGTAATTAACTACTTTTAGTATTCCGGTCCTTATACTTCAAAAAAATTATATTGGTATCCTTATAGTTATGAAAGTGAATTATCTTGATCTATTTACTTTAGCGTTATCGATTTTACTAACAAAAATATTAACATAAAAGATAGTTTTGCATTTCAATTGGTGATGACGGATGGTGTCGATGGTGACAAACGATGACACCGCTGGAAGCCACGAGTAACTGTTGTGGATGAGAAAAATGGTGATGAGAGGTGAGGGCCATCAACTTAGTTGCAGAACGATCCTTACATCTTATTACCACTCTCCTCATTTACAATAGCCTCTTGCGACCTCCAACGACATTGTCGTTCGTCACCATCGACGTCATCCATCACTATCGACCATAACATTAAAATTATTTTTTTAATATTTTCGTTGATAAATAATTGTTTAATTTTATAATTATAATGATGTTAATATAACTTTTAAAAATATAAATATATGGATATTAAAAGTAATTAACTACAAGAATAATCCTTAATCAGTCTAATTTTTAATACTTGGTAGCACCAATGGATATTCTTATGATAAATCGGATTTGGCTCGATCAATTGTTGTTTGGTTCACATTTGTTAGATCTAATCCGAGTCTTATTCGGATCCTGATATCTAAAACGAAGAATTCGCTAACTGGATACTACCCCGCTCGCCTTCACCGTCCTCCATCTATATATTTTGCATCCCCCTCCGACCTCTATCGACGCTTCCCGTTCTTGTTAGGTCCTCTCGCTCGGTCCGTTTTTAATGGCTCGAGTCCTTTCTGCCCCAACCCTAATCGGGGCCTCTCCGGCTGCCGAGAGGGCGGAGCTCGAGCCGGAGGGCTTCTCGGAGATCAAGGTACTGGTGATTCGCCGCCTCGAGGATGCCATCATCCATGCCATCGTAGTTCGTTGAGAGGCCCCCGATTGGTTGCCCTTCATCCCCGGCTCCTCCTACTTGGTCCCGCCCCACAGTCGCTCCTGTGGCGTCGCAGAGCTCGTCAGCAAGCTCGCGAACCCGATGACAGAGGAGGAGATTGTATCGTTTACCATTATTCGTGGATGATCCTCGGTCTATTTTATGAAAGGTAAGGGAAGAAAACTCGATCCCTTTTGGTTATAATTTTGAGTTTGTTTAGGTGACGCAAGATGATTAATCAATATATATATACACACCAAATGCACGAGATCTTCCAAAGTTCTTAACAACGAGAGCAGTGCCGCGTGATTCTCGATCTTTTTTTTGAAATATTTTTTTATCTGACTATATTTCAGGAGTATAATTTTTTTTGGTATTCTTAGAGAAGCTAATCGTTGTGTTAATTTTTTTTAAATTATTAGTTTAGGAGGGCTTGTCTTCTGAGGAGCAAAGCCTTCTGCGTATTAAACGGATAATTTAAGTTTTTCCTTTTAAAAGAAAAGAAGTGCTTGTGTCGCATATAAATTCGCAGCAACATGATTTGACGAGCCATGCCAACCATGGCAAATCGGTTGCGCTGCATGCACATATCGTCCACTCACCACGTGAGTACCATGTCTTTCTTATTTAGTTCCGCAGGAGTAACAGACCGCTCGACCACTCCCTCGCCCACGACCGTTCAAAAAGCATCAGTCCTCTGTTCCCAGTGTTGGAGGAACCCGACGCCATCACTCGAATAATCCCCATCAGGCCCGACATCGTCTACCCTGGGGGTCGGAACCCTCAAGTACGTCTCGATCAACATACCTCCTTCCGTTCTGCGGACTGGGATATATTTTTCGTGATTGGTTCCTTTTGACTTAGGCATCGGTTCTTAGTTTTCCTCGGTCGAATGTGGTTTTCCCCCCCGAAAGCATCTGTTTGCAGCTTGCTGAAGATAGTTTAATTCTTCGGCACTTGATCGAGTATGTGACCATCTCTTTTATTGCTTGGTTCAGATGGCGTTTTGAATAATAGCTGATTCTTGATTTTATCAGTCAACTGAATAATATTAAAAAAAATGGTGTCTACAAGATAAATCTTCCTCTGTTTAACCAAGAAAGCAACATGTGGCATTTGCACTCTCAAGTCACTATGTCATCGATGGCCCCAAACCACTGAATCTCAGACATTGTCACGACACAGCTGATGTAGATCATACTTGTCTGCTATGTTGGTTGTGGACAATATCCCAGTTGAAGTAGTGGCAAATCAACCACCTCATATGATCTGTACGAGTAGGTTGCCATTGAGGCCAAATCATTACAGGGACTTCACATTTTAATTCCTAAATCATATTATGTTTTGACTTGAGTGTCAGAGGGAGATTCTCTCAGGAACACTCTCAGCTCTCTCTCTATTTTGCAAGATTCGATTTAGTTCACATTTTCTGCCGTGAAACATCTCGGCCTGGTCAAATCCAATTGAGTCAACAAAGAACTTTGTTAAGCAGAGTTGTACTTCGGTTTGAATCACTTTGTTGCGCCATAACATGGCTTTGTATGCTGTCTTTCTTGGCACAAAATGGCCAAGCCAGCCCTCATGATCTTAGCTAGGATGGTGACCAAAATTGTCTTCATTAATTAGGGACCTCCATAGTTTTATCATTCATTATTATCTTTCACCTAATGCTTATTATTCTTTTGACTTTTTTTGAATCAATGGCTCAATGCTCTTTGAAATAGATAGCTTTTTTCCATCAACAAAAACAACTAGGAATTCTCATTGAATTCTTGCTTATCGAACCCTTTAGGTGAGATATTGCAAGAATTTAAACATGGTGTAGGGAGCAAACTGGCAAATAAAATCCTCTGGCTGTTTTAACAGAGAACTCCAAAACTTCATAGAAAAGTTAACTTAAACATGACATTAAGGAAATTTTTGGCTAAGGGGGTTATGTGGTGGTCCAATGGTCGGGTCGATATAGTATGGGAGGTGATTTGGTTACAGTTCATAAAAGAAAATTGATTGGTTAACTACTACTTTCAGAAGATTAAGCTAGTAGGATAGGACTCAGCATCATATATAAGCTTTATACACCCACTCATCCACAGGCTAGTTGAAGGATTAATAAGTTTGGCGTGTGGATTCAAATGCAAGATAACCATTTGGTACTTGTTATCTCTGAATGTGAGCTGCCAATAAAAAAAAACCAAGCTAATTGGTAACTAAATTGTACTTGAATTGATAAGTCATTATTTTTTTTCATCATTCATTAAACACCTAGGTTTCCCCCCTTCTTTGCTTCTTATGATTGCTTTCAAATTCAATGCATGTATTGGTCTCCTATCCATATGTATTGACATGTCGAAAGAAAATATCTAGTAGTACCATATAGGTTGGTTTAGAATCATTTGGTATCTGTCTTCCTTCCTTCGCAGCAAGATATTTAGTCTAGAGCTTCCTGTCATCTTGTAACTTTAAGGGAACCTCCTTTGTTTAAGCTTTGTTCATCGACTCTCCCACACAAAGCCTTTCTGCCCACTTGTTGGTTCTTTCTGAACACAGCTTCAGGTATGCCATAAAGTCCCAAAATTACCGGACTGAACTGTTCTCTAATAAAATGTCTTTAGTAGCTTGAGGTTCTATAAATTGTGTTACCTGTTTTTTTGAAGTGAAAGCCCCCGAGAGTAGTATCTTATCTTTCTTGATCCAAGGGTGTGCCTGCATCGGTCTTGATTATAGATGTTTTTTTGTAACTTCTTTTTCAATTTTCCAAGAGGCAAATATTCGAGAGTTAAATTATTATAATGAAAAGTAGGAAGACCAGTTATCCTCTGTGGCTATATGTATATTTTGCAGGTGGTGCCCAAATATTTAATCTTCTCGCAAAAATAGGAGAAGTTTTATATGCTCTTCAACAACAAAATGTAAACAGATTTTGACACAGAATTTGTTGGCAAGTCTTTGATACTTATGTGCAGAAAAAACATTTCTTGCATTAACATTTGTTTCCTAAACTAACTTATGGTCTGCTTCTATACAAAGTTTTTCTGAAGCTACTTCTTGGAAAGTTCATGTATTGTCTTTTTATGTTGTTTGAATCCATTATGTTGAAGAACTGAGTTACTTAGAGATTCCTTTATTCTTATTTTTAAAAATCTCACTAGTTTGAAATGAGGAAAAGTAGTATCTGAACATAATCCTTAATACATGAGTTTGGAAATTTATTTATGTTGGTTATTGTACTTAAAAGCTGATATGACCGGTTATCAAGGAGGCATTATGCCGCTACTAGCTTGTAGGAGGTTTAGATAAACATAACACAAATTAAATGCCTTTGCCCTTCAGGTTACAGACAACACTATGTTACAACAAACACAATTATTGAGACTTCTTCAGTTTTATTTGATTTATATGTTTGCTTCAGTGAACATCTATGATCAGATACATAGTTAATACATTACTCGTTGTTGTTTGTTTATGGTTTGTAGCTCCAAGCATGCACATTTTATAAATTGTCTTTGGTACATTGATTGACTCTCTCTCGGGCAAAGAATATCCAGAGCTTATGAATTTTCTATTAATACTTCTGGAGGTCAGGTTCTAAAGGTGGGGCTAATGATGGACGTGGACAAGAAGTGAGGCAGGAACAAATCTTCAGAGACAAGCTTTTGTGAGAAGAATTTAGCTTGACTTGGCTCTCATCCTCAAGTTGGCAGCTGTGATGTTTCTGCTCGGTCAGATGGATAAGAACAGAAACTTATGCTTCGGATGCTGTGTGCCTCACTGGTGTACCTGTAAGCCAAAATTTTTTACTTGAAGCCTCAGATAAAGTTGATTTCTTATTTGCTTACATAATGAGTCATTTTAGTCTCTAATAGTTGCCTATAATCTGGGAAATCTAACTCTCATCAGCGTGCATGTATACTATTAGGAATTTTATTAGTCTCTTTTAGTTTCTCTACGATTGTTAGTTCCACCATTCACTTCTTCATGGCATTCCATATGTTGCAGATATAGAACTATAGCTCTTCCCCCCTTACAAGATGGCTTCAACAAGCAGGAGCACCTACTCAGCCTCAATATGGGACATGGCTTTCCTGGTGGCCATGATGATGGGAATAATCCTTAAACTGGCATCTACTATAAAGGTTAAATTGCTTGACATTTCCATTTAGTAGTCACCATGAATCTAATCATACTGCATGTTCATCTAATGGAAAATGGGATCTTTTCTCATGATTCAATGCAAGTGTTCAGAAAACATGTCTGAAAAGTCATGAACTATATAGGTTTATAAGACATTAGATGCAAAATGGACAACCAACAAAATATTCTGTTCAGGACAGACATGTTTGGCAATAATATTGCTGATAGTTACCACTTCAAATTGGATATGATGACTTCTCTGTACTAAAATAGAACTGGTCGGCATTGCTTGTATACCAGAACTCAGGAGTTGATCTGCAGAACCAGATTCAACTCACAGCAGACCATATTGCTGGATTATTGTGAAAGCGAACCAAGTGCCTGTCACTGGTTTTGTGACTCTCTCTTTTGCCAGGTTTTCATCACAATGATTATGCTGAGAGGCCAGAGCTAAGACAAGACAAGCATCTTTAAAAGGCAAGTTCTTCTTTACTAATTAACTTACTTCTTGTGAATACTTTCGCGCTCTTATCTACTTCTATCAGCAATTCCATCCTTTTGACTTTTATCTTAAGAATTATATATTACTTTGATATCCTCTAGTTAGCAAGGATGGATTTTGAGGCTCCACCAGTACAAGTATGATATAATGTCTCATCAGAGTGATCTGCATCTACTAATACATCTGTGAGTGGGTACGCCAATATAATGGTGTTGAAATGAAAATTTTAGGCTAGTATAGGGTCTACGTGGACTTCATTCTGTTTTCCCATGCGTGGGCACCGCATATTATAGATTGGTCCACATAACATTTTGGCTTCTGATCATGATGTGTGTGGCGGGTCAGATAGGATGTCTGTTGTTTATTGTGAGTGAAGATTATGATATTGATAGTGTTACAGGACATGAGTTAGATGAGTTGCTACCATAGTCTCATAGTATAGTTACCAAGATCGGATTGGATTGATTGGTCCAACCAGAAATCCCTGAATCAGATCCTGATCATTCTGGTTCGTTAATTGGATCGTCCTTCTATTATTATTGATCATAATACTCTTAAATATTGATACTCATATATTTTTTGAGAATATTTTATTTATAAAATAATGCTTTCTTAATTATTGATATCCATCTGTAATGTCTATCATCCTCCCCATCGTATATCATTTTTATTTTTTAATTAATTTCTCTTTTATTTTCTTGCTTTGGCCTTTTATATGTCTCTCGAATTGTAGCTTTTTTTTTTAATCGCCATAATCCTTTTCGCTTTCTTTACTATTATAATTTTTATTTTACCATAATGTCATGTGTTGATCTATTTTTTCTATCACCTGAAGTTGACATTTATATTTTCATCTTTCTGATATCAACTAAGATGCTCCGCCAGGTTCCATGGAGTGGGATAATAGCTATAGTGGAGGGGGACAATTGGTAGGATAGAGTCACGATCAGGAATTGGGCAAAGGTCGATGATCGATAAGGATTGAATGATCATTTTGAAGAAAAAAAATGCTTTGTTGAAAATTTTAAAGTGTTATCTAAAATTAGTTTTTTTAAAAAAATTATCTTTATATATATATAATTTATACCAATACAATCAATGAAGCAATGATCCCGGGCTTGTCCGATCGGGATCTAATAATGATTGCTATGCAGGCGAACGCCCAACATAGGAAAGATCAACTGTCACTAGTTATGGGTTAGACACCACCATGAGTGCATGCATGCATGTTGTTCCCGAACCAGCATCAACCCCAACATGTACACAAAAAACAATATGATCTTACGTGTTGGAATTGACAATAAGAATCTCTTGATCTCAATCGACTTATCAAAAGTAAAACCCAACCCACCATCCCTCCCTCCCTGACAAAGTCAACAGCAGACACCAGCGTTGCGTAGCTCCTGCTCCACACAATGGCCACCTCTACATGTATGTTTATATATGCTGGTGTTGGCAAGTCAGAACCTTGGAAGTTGGAAAGAGTTAAAGAGGCTGCAGCATTTCAAGGCGAGAGAGAGAGAGAGAGAGAGAGAGCATTTAATTTTTGGATGCTGCAGCAGGCAAAGCTCTATGTGCCGAAGCAGGTCCATTATTGCTGCAGGCACGCAGTGTATCGTGCAGACTAAGTGGTAGGGCGACGCTTGCTAGATCTGAGAGAGCGAGAGACAGAGGGAGTCATGTCAGGTTGCAACAGTGCGGTGTCGGCCTTCCACCATGCAGTTCTTCCTTACAGCTGACACATAGAAGGGGTTTGTCTTAGCTCTGTGAAACCCTAGCTGCCACATTATTCTGTGCGTAGTACACCATGTTTGTTTTTATCTTCACCTACTGCAGTAGATACCTGCACTGTGATCCTCTTTGGGAAGAAAAGAGACGAGAGATTGGTGGGTGGTGGAGTAAGATACATAAAGAAAAAGCTTCACCGGAGACAAAAGGTGGAGTTCATCCAGGGACTTCATATGTAATTTAGCTCTTCGAGTATATCATAGTATAGGTTTATATATAGAAATGGTTCCATTCTGGCTAAATCTCATCGGTTATTGTTTAGATAGGATTTAAATACGCAATTTGGATAGGGATTTAAATACAGATATTACCATTCCACTCGAGGCGATCTAATGTGCAAATCTTCTTCAGCGCAACGCACATTTAAAGAAATGAAAATATATATTCTCAATCGATTCAAGTTATTCATATTGGTTTTGGGTTACTATGTCAGCCCATACGAGAGGAAGCGTTAGGTACATGGATCAACAGATCATGTCTCATCTGGCATCTACTGATTTAAGGCCTTTAGATACAACGATAGTGATAAAAGAGTAAGATTGTAGATTCAATCTATTTTGAAGAATTATAATCTCCTTTTGTAGTCGCATCTGAATCGTCCATGGATCTGTCAGGTTAAGATGTAGAGATTTAAATGGTCTTAAGAGTATTGCCCATTTGAAGCTCCTACGCGACATCTCACCTACATGTTTCTGTTCCTTTTTTACCATGTCTTCCCTTGACAAGATAACTTAAGCCGTACCAAACAGTGTCAACCATAAAATTAGAACTGAGTCTTGACAAGTTGCATATGCACCCTCCCAACTCTTCCGAGAGAGAGAGAGAGAGAGTTTGATTCTTTGACATGCAACCCAGGAACGCGACCTTCAAAGTCCAGCTACTACTCACGTTCGTCCCCCCTCAAAAACCGACAAGACAAAACATAGTTTTCTAGGGTTGCAGTCCAAGTCACAGTCTTAGTCAGAACAGTGCATTCACTGAATCCCCCCAAAGCCTTCACCAACTAAATTCACATGGAATAAGATTCCCCCCCCCCCCTCTTCCGGTATTCTACCCTTACAGTCATGTTGCTCATGCACATGCATCTTTGAATCTGAATGATGTTTCAGCAACAGCAGATAGAAATCAATTTTATACGCAGTGAACTCACATGCACCATTCACCATGCAAGATAAAATATATATATGAGCACTAAGTCCTTTCCTTAGGGTGGACAATTCGCATCCTAAGAAATAAACAAATCTAGTCTAAGGAAAAATGCAGAGCGTCATGTTATCTCCTATTCCTTCTTCTCCTTTGCCCTCTTCAAAGTTGCATCATCCTACACTCCCAGGAGAACGTAGTAGAGGATTGTGATGGGTAGGGCGATGAGCATGCCAAAGATAACCCTGCGTGCATGGAACAAAGAATCATCATTCTCACACACACAATGCCATCACTGTCCATTAGGAGTTCAGAGACAAGGAAGGTTGCGTACGCAGTGCTAAGTATGTCAGGGTGGCAATTGTACTCCTTGGCGAACACAAATGGGACAATTCCTTGGGGTAGAGCTGCCTGCAATCAGTAATATTCGTATGCATATATACAAGTCTCGTCATATGAAGGAATGACTTGAATGGGGGGGTACATGTAGGGTTGGAGGTTAACAAGAATAGTTACCTGGACAATGGCCACATGCAGGAGAACTCCACGGACTCCAATGGCGATGGAGGTCGCTGCGATCACTGCTGGGCCTGTCAAGAACCTGACCGCCATGGAGAAAGCAGCCACCGACTTCCCACATGAAATGATCTTTGGTTGGAGTGCCATGAAAAGACCTTCATTTTTTGTTGGCCAAATAGTATACGAACGTGTAAGCCATGGGTTGTGCCATCATCATCTGATTAATCTAGCAGTCACCGGAGAAGACAGAGAACGTACCTAAACTGAACATGGCCATTCCCAGTCCTGCATCAGATAGTATCGATATCGAACCTTTTATTATCGTCGGCATCTCGATGTTCCACCTAGAGATGTACCACAGCATCAGTGTCATTGCAACAAAACCTTAGTCTGACTCGAACTACTACCATCTTACACTGAAAAGAAAGCCCCTACAGACCATGAAGAATAAAAAGGACCACCACGAGAATGCATCGACGGCTTTATTAAGTTGCTTCAAGGAATAGCTAGGTTAGGGTTTTTGACCATGAGAACTATGAGGAACTAGTTATCAACATGTCGACACCAATGACTCAAAGGTAGCAAAGATGGTATCTTCCTATCAACAGTCTTAAGTTTTTATCGAATGGTATGTCAATATTAAGGGTGTGTTTATGTTTATAAGATAAGATTTTGAACTATCAATCCTTCGTAATCAGATTTCAGTCAAAATTAGTCGTATTGAGGTGCGTATGTTGAGCACCTGTAGGATACGAGGGACCAGATGAGGCCGATGAGGCTGGAGTAGGTGTTAGGGTTCCGGATGAGCTTCCTCCAAACCATGATGACTATGAGTCGGGTCATCACGCTGGCTGGCGGCATCCGGTGGCTGCTCTCCACCAGCCCCGGTGCGCCGCCGGCGTCCACCCCCTTCTTCTGCGTCACGTACGGTGACGTGTTTGTCGGGAACTTCCCACCGTGGCTTTTCCGGCCGTCTTCCATGTCCA